CCACTGATGCCCCGGCTGCTCCCATCGCCTTCGCCACCCTGCCTCGACCTGCCCGGCACACCCCAAGGTGCTGCGGGAGAAATCCTCTCCCCATGGGTCCCTAAGGAGCACATCCCCACCACCCCAGGACCTGCCTGCACTTCCCAGCTTGGGTGCAAGGACTGACGGGGACAGCAGCCCCCCAGCCCCTCCCACGGGCAGCCAGCCCCCTCGGAGATGCTCTGTGCTGGCACCGCCATCCCTGCGCCGAGGAGCCACAGCACGGCCGGGGGTGGCAGGCAGCGTGCCAGCTTCACAGGGAAGGATTTTACCTCCCTGACAACTCTCCTTCTTCCCCTCCAGTGAGGGACTCTGGGGATGCTCCCCACCACCGTCACCATCCCCATCCTGCCACCAAGGGCTTGGCTTGTGGCTAGAGCAGGTGCAGGCACAACGGCAGTGATGGGGGGAAACCGGGCACCCCTTGGGCTGCGGGGACATGTCCAGGGGCCAGGCACAGGGATGGCTGGCACAGGCACCATCGGGCAAGGAAGGTGGGTGAGCAGATAGGGCATCCCTTTCCCTGGGGCCATTCCCAGAGAGCCCTGCCTGGCAGGCACGTGCCTCCACCACCTCCAAAGGCAGGACACACTGACCCTCCTGTTCCCTGTGAGTACCAAACCCCTATTCAGGCCTTCCTCACCATGCACGGCCCGGGGTCAGGACAGATCCCTCGGTGCCACTGTGGCAGCTCTCCCCCAGGGCTGCCCAGGCTCCTCAGGGAGCCGCCTTTCTTGCTCTTTGCTGTGCCCTGATAAGGGCTGGCTGGGCCAGCCCTTGCCATGGTTCCTCTGCCCAGCGAGCCTTGCCACGCCAGCACCGCCTTGGCCACACCGTCCATGCCACAGCCACCCCTGCAAGGGGGGAACACCGCCGGGTCAAAACAAGATCAGGGTATGGCTCCTAGCGCCCATGCCCAGCCCTGCCAGGCTCAGGGGAATAGAAAAGGGAGCTATTCCCAATTGCTCCAAGAGCTCCGGGCACGGCTCTGGGCTCTGGCAGCTGGGCTTTGTTCAGCAGTCTGCAAAGGCGTGCGCGCACCCGCAGCGCTGGGCACGCGGTGGGATCACTCCCTGCCCTGGAACGGAGGGAACTGTGGGCATGAGGGACCTGAACCACGGTCAGGGAGGGAACCGTGGGCATGGCAAAGCTGTCCAGGGAAGGGAGAAATCGGCAGGTACCTGGAGAAAGATCTGCTGATTTACTGCACGAGGCCCCAGACAAGTTCAAGGTGATGAGGGGGAGAGCGGCGCAGCGTGAGCGCCGGCCAGCAGCCCCTCACACAGCTGGCTTTATCCTCCCCGTCCGTTCTGGCCCTCTGACCCGGCACAGAAACCTCCCTGAAAACAGGACCTGTTTTTCCCGGGTGAGGATTTAAGATGGGATCGGGCAGGAGCAGCGGGGCAGGGCTCGCCAGGGCAGGCGGGCACGGCGGGCGCCGCGGGGAAAGCGAGGATCTCCCGAAGGTTGCATTTAAAGAACAGCCTCATTGTTTTTCCCAAACAATACTCAGCAGATGGGAGAATTGAAAGTGTGTTGCAACCTTCCCTCTCTTCCCCCGCCATGCCCGGCTTGCTGCTCCCATCCTTTGGCAGCCGATCTGAGCTCCCGGCTGGAAACCAGTTCTCCGGAGCTACTGGTGGAGGGGGTGAGCACCGGTGCTGAAAAGCCCCGGCGCTTTTGGGAAGGGGGCTTGCCAAAGGATGCCCCATGAGACGTGCCCAGCAGCTCCCCGCATGCCTGCAGCAGCGGTGGCAGCCGAGGGATGTGTGGAGCCCGGCCGTGGCCGGGGAGAGGTGGGATCCCCTCGGATGCCTGGAGATGTGGCTGTGACCGTGCCACGTGGCTGCAATGCTTCTGGCAGCCCAGCTCCACCCCCCAGGCCCGGAGCTGTGCCCGTTTGCTGGTACCAAGGTTTGTGCCAGGCCAGCTTAGCCTGACGCCCCTCGGATCCCGAGCCACTGCCTGTGGCACACACGGGGGTCTGTGCCTGGCCACTTGATCTCGGTCAGGCAGTGCAGGTGCACTGCCTCTGCCATCCCAAAATCAGCTCTGTACCCCTAGCATGGAGCCTGGCAGAGGGAAGAGGGTCTCTGACCAGACCCTGCTGGGATGCCCGGCTTGTGGCAGCCTTGGAGGATGGCGCCCATCTCACTTCATTCCCATCCTGCAGGAACCAGGGTGGGGGGCTGGGGGTGTGCTGGGGGCACTGCCAGGTACCAGGCACGAGCCAGAGGTGTAGGAGCATTGCCAGTCATAAAATTTGCAATATTCCCCCACAAGAAGTATCCCAAATGTTCCCCCACTGCGGATCCAGGAGCCAAGGATAACTGTTACCACTTTGGAAATCCCTTTGGCTGCTGGGCAGCAGCTCGCAGGGGACACACGTGCAGGTCCCTGGCAGGTGCTCAGCTCCAGGGCTATTTTGGAGCTGGGCAGCCGGACACCCCCGGCCCCCGCCCCGCTTCCCCGTGGGCAGGGTGAGGCCTCGTGCGTGGCGGCGGTTCCGGTGCTGCTTCCCTGCTAATCTCGGCAGCTCCCTCCTGACTTCCCGGCCTGGCCCCGAGCGGGGACAGAGGTGAGCTGCGGAAGCTGGAGGAAGTCCCCAAGAAGGGACACGGAGCTGGGAGGGCTCAAAGCCACCTCTAGCCCGACGGAGATACGGCCGAGGCCGTGGCCAGGAGCGTGTCCCGGGCTGTCAGCCCTTTGCCGGGGCTGTTTTGGTGCCGCTGGGCTCGCGGCTCGGGCCCGTTCGGGCCGGGAAGGGCTCCTGCCGCCCGCGGGGACCCGGGGCCGGCGGTGCTGCTGCTGGGGAGATGCGCAAAGGCCAAGGCAGGGCGGCTCCCGCGCACGTTCCAATGTATCCACATCACCATCCGCAGCTCCCGAGCCCGGGCGAGCCTGCCCGCCGCGCGGGTGGGATGGGAACGGGAACGGCTGGGCTGGAGCTGGGCACGAGGGCCGGTCCCGTCCGAGCCGGGCTGGGTCGGAGCTGAGCCTCTGTCGGGGTGAGGGGGAGGACACCAGAGCCTGCCCCGTGCCCGGGCAGCGGACAGAGGATCCGCGGAGGATCGGGAGGAGAGCCGGGAACAGCGCGGGTTTGTGAGGAGAAGGGCTCCTGGCAGCCCCGGCCCGGCCAGCGGCCGCACGGCTCCCACATCACACCGGCACTGCGAGCTGGCAACAACAGGCGTGCCAGCCCAGCACCAGCTGGACACTGGAGGGCTGGGACCCCTGGGAGGGATGCAGCCAGGGTGGGAAAGGCGGGATGGCAAGGAAAGGGAAAAAAAGAAAGAAAAACAGGGAAAATAAAAAGAGAGAAAAGCAAGCAAGAAAGAAAAATAATAAGGGAAAAAAATTAAAAAGAAAAATTGCGAAGGTAAAAAAATTAAAAAGTACAAATAAAAAATAAAGAGAAAAAGAAAGAAAAAGAGTTAAAAAAAGAAGAAAATAAAAAGAATAAAAGAAAAGGGAAGAAAGAGAAGTAAATAAGCCAGATTGAGGTGTGACCCTTGCCAAGTCAACCACACAACAGGGAGCACCACCTCAGGGTCATCTGAGCAGCCCTGGCACTGCCCACCGTGCCCGTGTCCTCAGCAGCCTCACGCTGCGGCCGGGGGAAGCCGGGCCCGGACCCCGCGCTGCCCCCGCACCTCGGCGGAGCCCCGCGGAGCCCCCCGGAACCGCACCGAGCCCCGAGGCACAGCCAGCCCCGGCCCCGAGGCACAGCCAGCCCCGGCCCCGGGGCACAGCAGCCCCGGGCGCAGCCCCGCGCCGAGGGAGGGGGCGGCAGGGGCGGGGGTCTGCAGCAGCCCCCCCTCCCCAGAGCAGAGCCCGGGGGCGCCGCACGAGGCCGGGCCCGGAGCGGGCAGCGGCTGCCAGCAGGGAACAGGTTACGAGGCAGAGAAAGCTGCTGCTCCATAATTAAATAAATATCAGCGATCAATAAGCACAAGGCAAAGGCAGAGCCGCAGTGGTCGCGCTGTGGGCAGGGCGGGGGGGTTCCTGGCTCTCCCCCCGCGGCCATCCCGGCTCTTGGGGCATTGCAGGGACGCCCCCCTCGCCCGCACCGCGGGCCCGGGCACGGCCGCCCTGCCGCGTGCCACCGGAGCGTGGCCTGGGGTGACATCGGTGTCCCCACGCGCGGCTTGGGGCTGCCCCTCGTCACCCCGACACCCTGACGGGGGCTGGCATCGCCCCTGGCCTCGGATACCGGGGGGTGCCCCCACATCCTGCCGTGCACGGCCCCCCCGGCCCCCTCGCCCGCCAGCGCGGCGTGGCACGGCCGGGCGCGCATTGTCCCGGGGCTGGAGGGCTCCCAACAAAATGCCCGTGCCCCCCCAGCCCTTGCACCCCACCATGTGCAGCCAGGCTGGGGGAGGGAAGGAAAAAGTTTCACGCTACGCAAGAGGCGGCACGGCCGAGCCCGAGGCTGCAGCGCCGACCCCCCCGGGCTCCCCGAGCCCACCGAGGACCCCCCGCACCCCACGGTGTCCCCCCGCACCCCCAGAGCCGGCGGCTTCCCCGCACCACCCACCTCCGGGCGCAGCCACCAAAAAATAAAACCCAAACCACAACGCAATCTTCCAACCCCCCCACGCCCCAAGTGAAAGTGAAGGCTGAAAAAACCCAAAAAGCACCAGAAACACCAGAAAAAAACCCTGCAAAAGGCGAGGGAGGGGGACAGGAGGGGAACGCGGCTCCTTGAGCAGCCTGCACGGCCCCAACCCGCCTTTCTCTGTTATGATTATTTTTAGGGAGGGAGGTGTTGCATTTTCTTGGGTTTTCTTTTTTTTTTTTTCCTTTCTTTTTTTTTTCTTTTTTTTGGTTTTTTTTTTTTTTTTTTTCCTTTTTTTTTTTTTTTTTTTTTTTTTTTTTCTTTTTGTATTGCAACTGCTAAAGTCTGTTCCGGCGAAAGGAGCAAATTGGGGGGAGGGGGACGCGGGGGGGGTCCCGGTTACCTGGGTCAGGCAGAGAGGAGACGAATACATCCCGAGCCGTGCTGGGAAAGTGCCTAATTGCAGGGCTGAGACTCGAGGCGTAAAAGTTACTGAGTCATTTCGGAGGCTGGAGCAGTCCGGGCGTTTTTTCTCTCTCTCTCCTCCGGAGCGGCTCTGCGGGGCCCGGGGGGGGGCAGCCGGGCACGGGGGGGCGGCCCCGCGGGAGGGGGGGCCGAGGAGGAAATAAAAAGATTCCAACTTCCACCCCCCCGCCAAAAAAACTAAAAAAAAAAAAAAAAAAAAGCGCTTTTTGTTGTTGTTGTTTGTTTGGGGTTTTGGGGGGGCGGTTTAAAGAGGCAGGAGGGTCATCCTCGCCCCGGGGGTGTCGGGGGTCCGCACCCAGCCTGCAGGCACGGGCGGCGGGGAAGTTAGAAGGGAAGCGGCTCCATCCGAGACCCAGGCAGCGGAGAGAGAGAGGAAAGAAAGAATGAGAAAATGAAAAAAAAAAAAAAAAAAGAGCGAGGAATGAAGTGACGTTATGAAAAAAGCCCATCCCAAAATATTACATCCCATTTAAAGATGTAGGAACCCCCTTTGGCTCGCAGGGCCGAGGCGCTGCGGGGCAGGGGGGGCGGGGGAGGGACGGGGCCCCCGCGGACGGCGAATCCCCCCTCGGCCAGCGCGGAGCGCGCCCGCCTTTGCTTGTTTGGGGGGCTTTATTTTTTAATTATTTTTTTTTAACTAAACGGAGCCAATCCGGCGATGGGAGAGAAAAAACCCTGCAGATTCATGTGCAACTTCTGAGCAGCGGCCCTGGCGCGGGGGGGGGCAGCGGTGCTGCTCCCCGCACCCAGCCCCGGTGCGGGGGGGCCGCCCCGCCGCATCCCGCTCATCCCGGGGCGACGCTTATCCCACCCCCCGCCTTATTCAACCACCGGCAGCACCGCCGTGCCACGGGGGAAGAGCGAGCCACGGGCAGCCCCGCAACCCCCCCTCGTCCCGGGGAGCCCCGCGACCCCCCCCGCACAAAGAGAGCGGGAGGCGGAAAAAGCGGAGCCGCAAACTCCAAACCGCAAGTTCTCGCTCCGCAACCCCCCGGCCCCGGCCGATCGCGGGCGCTAATGACGCTAATTAGAGAGCGCGCGGGGAGCGCCACGGGCGGAACACAAAGGGGATCCCCGGGCACCTCCCGGCCCGGGGGGGCCGCGCCCCGTTCCCCTCCCGCACCGGGGGTCGCCCGTCCCTTCAGGGACCTGCCCGCAGCGCGGCTGCTCCTGGCGCGGGGCTGCGGCTCCGGCGCTGCTTATTTCCCCCCCCGCCAAAATAAGAAAACCGCTTTTTTTGGCCTTCCCCCCTTGTTCAATGGGACGGGGACGAGCCCCCGCAGCGCCTCTTCCCGCACAACAAATTTCCACTCTCAACTTCTGCCGACCCCCGCGGCCCATCCCCGCCCGGGGTTGGGGCTCGCCCCGCACGCTCCCCCCGCAGGGACATCCCCGTCCCCGCGGGATGCGGCGGCTCCGCGCAAACTTGGCCGGGCGGGCCCGCTCCCCGCATCCTCCCGGGGCGGCCGCGCTCCCCCCGTGGCCTGGCGGGAGGAGAAGCGGGCGAAGCCCCGCACAGCGGGGCCGGGGGAAATGTTTTTATTCTCCCACCGAGCGCGGTGATTCCCGTCTCCCACCCCAGCACGGGCAGGGCGGCTCCGCGCAGCGCGGACTTGAGCGCGACCCTCCCGGGCGTCACTTCCAAGTTCAAGTCGGTGCGGCTGGCGGCCTCTCCGCCCCTTTTTTAGCGGCCATTTTCAGCTCCATCCAGTCCTCCGCTGGCTGCGGAGGCTCCCCCCGCGCCGCGCCGCGACCTCCCCGCCGGGCGGCTCCCGCCGCCGCCTCCGCCCCCCGGTACCGGGGGCGGGTGGGCAGGGGGAGGAGAGACGGCGGAGCTCNCGCCGCCCGCTCCCCCCGCCCCGACACCGTATTAAACTCGCCCCGCCGCCCCCTCCCCGGCAGCAACTTTTGCTCGTGGGGGCACCCGCAAACACACGCACACGGGGGGGTGAAGGGGAGAGGGGGGAAGTAGAAGAGAAAACGAAAGTGTCATGGGACCTACCATCGCCAAGTGCAATTAACGGGCTCCAAGTTGCTGCGAAGCGCAAAGCAAAGAGGATGGATGGGCTGCTTTGGGATTTTGGTCTAAAACGTGTGTTTTCCACCGCGCCGAAGGAGGAGGAAAAAACCGCTGCCCCGCCAAAGAATTAAAAAATTAAAACCCCAATAATAATAATAATAATAACAATGATGGTAATTATAGTAAAAGTCCTCCGAGGCCAGCGGCACAGCACAGTGTCCCCCGCGGGCGGTCACCCTCGCTCCGGCTCCGCGGCGCTGCCGGGGGCCATGCTCCGGGCGGGGGGCCGGGCTGCGGGGCGGGGGGCGCGGNNNNCCGCCCCCGCCCCGGGCATCCCCCGGGCACCCCCGGCCCGCTCAGCCCCGGCCGCCAGCTCGGGCATTCCCCGGGCACGGCCCCGGCTCCGCGCCGCGGAGACTCGGCCTCACCCGGCTCACGGACACCGCTCCCCCGGTCACTCCGGTTCCCCGGGGCGGACACCCCGCTGGTCACCCCCCGCCACCCCTGGGTGCAGACCCCTGCCCCCCGGCCTGGCGGCAGACACCCCCGGCTGTGCCCCCAGCCCTCTCGAGCATCCCCCCTCCCCCAGGGCTCCCAGCCACGGCTGCCCCCCCGCTCCGTGTTCTGCTCCCTTCGCCCCTTCCCCAGGAGCAGCCCCGATGCCCCCGCTGTCTCTCAAGGCCACGGGCTGCTTTGCACCGGGGGCTTTGCCCCCTCCCCAGTCCCGCTCAAAAGTTGGCAGCGACCCGGGCACTGGGCTTGGTGCGGCTGTGGGGAAGGGCTTGTGGGGGGGGGAGAGCGATTCCCTCGTTTCTATCGACCCCTTTTGTGTCTGGACCTGGATTTTTAACCCTTGTTATCGAGTAATCCTTTAATCTCTTAATCCTTTCAAATAACCATATTTTTCTATAGGAAGGCAACAAAAATTAGATATTTTTTCAGTTTGCTGAGGGCCGAAGCGTGCATCGTGTGCCCGGATTTTTCGGCACGCTCCGTAGTCCTGAACAAACAGGAACATAATCTCCGTCTGCCTTGAGCTCAAATGGTTTCAGTGTGATAAATAATATGCTAAATAATTTATTGTATATTTTAAAAATAAAATTAAAGCAAAGTACTCAGTCATTTCACTAGTTTTTATTCCATTATTTTCCCCCTCTTTTATATATATATATATATTTATTTTTTTTTTAGGGGGGTACTCTGAGCCTGATAATTTTTACAATCTCAGCTCTAATTTAGCAGGGATTTTGGATACACGGGAGGTTTATTTTATCCATCCCCCATATCCCCTTTGCCTGCTAAACCCACCACATGCATACCAAGATACTGGACATTAATTTGTACATTCACAGGATATTATATTATATGCATACATGTATAGATATGCATATATTTACTGAGTTATTTGTCAAACACAAGTACGGCCATCGGCCTTATGGAAATGAGATCTAATTTTATTCCAGCTGCCTATAAAAAAGAAAAGAAAAATTCTTTAAATTTAAAACCTCTCGAACTTTTTTCACGTTGTTTTTTGGTTTGTTTTTTTTTTTAATCGCCATCTGTTCCCCCCCAAAAAAGCCACTTCCCTGTTTTAAAGCTGAAAAAAACAAAAAAAGGCTGAAATGAGCAGTTCCCTCGCCTGGTCCCAGCTCCAGAAGCCTCGAGGAATGTAAACTCGGCGGTAACTCCGCTCGCCGAGCACAGTTTGCATTTTCTGCCCGGCTCTGAGCGCGATACGGCGCAAAAATAAACCCTGGGAAGAATTTGCCAATTTTTAACCGCTTCCAAGGCCGCCGTGGTGCCCGCTGGCAGCTCCCTCTCTCCTGCCAGGGTTTTTTTTTCTCCAGTGATTCCTCGTCCCCCCTGGCCTGGAGGGTTTGGGGGGACGTGGATATTTGGGCTCAGGCCGTGGGAGATTGCGGGGCCGTGCCAGGCTGGCAGTGCCCGCGTGGGTGAAGAGGGAGAGAAAGAGAAGGTTGGGATTTTATTTTCCCTTCTGCGAGGCCCGGGGGTGCAGGGTGATGGGGAAGGGGTTATTTATTTCTTCATGATAAAGAAGTTATTATTTATAATAAATAATTGTTTGTATTTATTTATTATAAATAAACAACTGCGGTGGTTATTTATTTTTGTAATGCTGTTAAAAGTATTTCCTGGGTGATTCAAAGCCGGGGCTGAAGGGCTGCTGGCCTTGGTTTTGAGATATCCCCGTGGGCTTCCTGTGGCCCAGGGGCACACCTTGTGTGGCCCCAAATTCATCCTGCAGTGTGTCCCCCGAAATGATCCCATTTCTCCTCTGGCAGTGGGGACTCATCCTGCAGCAACCATAGCCCTGGCCGAGGCTGGAAATCATTTCAGTGCAGAGTGGCACCTGCCCTGGCACTGGCAGGGCAAAGGGCACCCCAAATCCTGGCCCCTGACCCAGGGGTGCTGCAGGATTTGGGGTGCCGTGGGCCGTGCTGCCCGTGGGGCTGGAGAGCTGCCACCAGACCCTGCGGTGACTGTCCCCACTCCCCCTGCTCCCTGCAGCCCCTCAGCCTGAACCCCAGCTCCTGGTGTAACCCCCAGGCAGAAAAACACTAAAAATACAAATATCCTAATTTTTTTTGTTTTCCCAGGCTTGCTGTAAACAGTGTTTTGAGGATGGGGGTGGAATCCAAACCCAATTTAATTTTCCTGTGCAGGCCATCCCTGCTGCCTCAAATAAAACCAAAAGAGTGGGGTGGATTTGGGGCGCAGTTCTGTTCCTCCAAGAGGTTTTTCGCAGGGATTAAAGCCTGGAGGTGGAAGCTGAGTTACCCCGATCCCAGGGAGTGGCTGGATCAGGCCCTTTGTTCATTCCATGGGTTTTTATCCCGGCCTGTTTGTGTGCTCACGACCCCCCGTCTATAAAACCAGTGCTTGGAACAAGTGGAAATTTGTGGCCCCCCCCCCAAAGCTGGATTTTATTTCTAAAGGGCATTTCATGGTTGATTTGTGCTGCTAAGACACCTCGATGCCAACTTTTGGGCTCAGCCAAGGGGGTGCAGATACCCATGGAGCAGCACAGGGCTGGGTGCCCCCCCATCGCCACGGGAAAACATCCCCCAGCCTCATTAACCCTTTTTTGGGGCTCATTTTTAGCATTTTAGCAGGGTTTGTTCCGAGGTCCCATTCTGCTGGGCGCAACAGCACGGCTGAGCCACGTCCCTCTCTGGAAAGAGGGAGAGAAAGGGAAATCATCTATGTTGGGATAGTTTTGTTGCTGCCTTTCTTTGCTTTTAAAATAACTTTTAAGGAGAATATTCTGGTTTTGACCAGAATTTATTTACTTTATTCCTGCATATGGCTCTTGGCCTGGGTCCCAAACAGGCAGAGGTCTGGCCTGGCTCGATTCAAAGCCAAAACGTGCAATGAAAAGAGATTTTTTTTTCCCTTTTCTCTTTCTTTCTAAAGCAGGTTTTTAACTAGTGAAATTGTTGCTGACAAGGAGGGGATTTCAGTTTAAAAATTGCTAGCAGATTTCGGGGAATTATTCTGCAGGAATTTCAAGGGGTTTTAGGATTTTTTCTGTGGCTTTTTATTGGTTTTTTGGCCGCAAGTTACATGTAAAAAAAAAAAAGAATCCCCAATTTTCCCCCCCACTCTGTATTTTTTCCATTGGCTCAAACATCACCTTTTCCTCCTGGATTTGCTGGAACCAGCCCTCCAAGAGCTCCTGTAGCCCTTTCCCTGCTCTCACACAGTGTGGCACAAGGAGCCGTGACCTCACCGGAGCAAAGCTTCCCCAAAATTACCTTAAAACTTGGTTTTACATCAAAAGGGGCTTTGGGGGGGTTTGCTGAATAGCTTCAAACACCACCACAGGCCCATGGTGCTGCTGCCCTCCCTGTGCTGGGGGCATGGGCCGGGACTTCTGCAGCCACATGTGGATGGAGGCACCAGGAATTCTTGCAAACACCGAAATTTCACTTGTTAAAAAAAAATTCCCAACAACAACCAAACCCCAAATGCAACCAGGAAATGTTTCCTCACTTGGTGTTTTTTGTTTTTCTTTTGTTTTTTTTTTTTTGGTTTTGGTTTGGTTTTTTTTGTCCATAAAAAGACATAAATCAAATCTGGCCACTCTCCCAGGGCTGATTTGTCGTGTTGGTGTTGGGGAATTTGGGGAAATTTCTGGAGTGGGAGGAATGGGGAGGAATATGGCCCTGGCTCTTTGTTTGGAGCGAGTGAATCCCAGTTTGGTTTTTGTCTCACTTGCAGACATAGCTGGGTCCTGCCGCTGTCCCCATGTCACGGTCACGCTGCCGTGGCAGCCCCTCGGCCCTTGCAGCTCAGTTTAGGGAGCAGGAGCACCCCAGTGCCAGTGACACCCCGGTGCCACCTGGGCACAGGGATGTGGCTCTGCACCAGCACACCGAGCCCAGCAGCGCCCCAGTGCCAGGGGGCTCCCCAAAATGTTTGTGTGCCAAGGGCAGCAGCAGCCAGGGGTGAGGGAGGGGACAAAAATCCCCCCAAATATGGCTTTGCTGGAGGGGAGGGCAGAGGAGCAGGGAAGCTTTGGGGAGCTGAAAGTGAAAGTGGCGGGCAGTGGGTGCGGCGAGCACCGCGAGTGTTTTGGGGACCCAGCTGGCACCCTGGGCCCTGGGGGATTCAGTCCCCACAGCTGGCCCTGGTGAGGGCAAAAGCAGCTGCTGGTGGTGCTTTGGAGCCCCAGCAGAAGTGGGAAGGAATCCTGGGGGAATTTTAATCAGTTGCCAAAGCAAACAGAAGCGCGGGGAGGTAACGAGGTACCTGCTCCCGCGCCGATCCAGCACCTCGGGCTCAGCCCCTCCCAGCCCCCTTCCCACGGTGTGTGCCCGGCGCTCCAGGGCGATGCCAGGGCAAGCACCCGGCAGCAGCCATGGAGAACCACCGTGGCCCACTGCAGCAGCTCCGCAGCGGGGCCAGGTGTGGGGCTCACACTCCCAGCACAGCCCTGGAGCCCGGAGCTGGCCTCGGACCCTCCAGCAGCTCTTAGATGAGGCCTTTGCTGTGGGAGGAAATGGTTTCTCTGAGGATTTTGTTTGCCAGAGGAGAAAACTGGGCTGGAATTTGCAAGAAGAAAGTTTGAGGGGAATGGCAAAGAATTATTATATTAGTTTTCCAGAAGGAGCTTCCAATTGTGGCGGCACACAGCGACGTGTCCCGGAGCGACACAAACCGGGGCAATACCCAAAAGTGGTATTAGGTGAAGGGTCCCTTTCCCAGGAAAAGTTTGGCAACTCGAGACTCTGTTGCCAGCCTCTGT